AGAAAGTTCTAGATAAAAATTAAAATAATAGAAAGAACTTAGCCATTTCTCTTTTTAAATGATAATAATTATATATATTAAATTGAATTAATTGATATAAATGTCAAGAAAGAAATTTACAATGAAAGATAATAACTCTATTTTTGATTTATATGAAACATGTAGCTTTATTTCTATTAAATAAAAGAGCAAAAATAGCTTAGAAATGATGTTTTAGATTAAACATAATTCCTTATCATTTGATAACGCTTCAACTTTGATTATGGCTAATTTTTTGATGATTTTGAAGGCTTACTTATTTAATATAATGAAAAATTCATATACATCTCTTTATTTTAAATTACTAAATCCACAGTCATTTGCATAGAATCTTTAAAGTAAGGTAATTTATTTTTATTTGCAATTTTTAATTTATAGTTATAAATACCAAGCAGAATAGGTATTAATCAAGGAAAATACATATAAAAATTAAGTTATCACTTATAACCAATCTATCACAATCTAGTAAATATTCAGATTCTATAATTTCATGTAATGATTAATGATTGGAAAGGATCATTTTGTATCAAATAAAGTTAATTGTAATCTGAATTTTCTTATATAAATAATATCAGAATATTTTCTGTAAGTTTTAATGTAAAAGGAGATAAATTAATTATAACAAATTATAGCAATTGTATAGTTAAATTTATCAAAAGAGGAACATATTGGATGAAACAACAAATATTAATATAGATAAATTAGGACAATGAATAAGCTTTATTGGAAATGATTCATTTGCAGACTAACAAACATTCAAAACATAGGATTTGTACAAATTTAAGAATCAATGCTATTAATTCATTAAATTGAGAGAATTCAATATTTAAAGTTATGACAACTGTAGTTTTAGGAAATTCAATCAAATTTATATATGTTAAGAAAAGTAGATACTCTTAAATAATGATGGAATATCATTGAATTTTATTAAAATATAAGTTGATCCTTATTTTGTGACTGAGTTTGAACTGCAATTTTAAGATTCTTCTGCTTAGGTTGCTTTAAATGAAAATGGATCCTATTTAGTTATATGGGATAATTTTTACAAATTTATAAACATATATAAGTGCTATCCTTAAATATTTATTACGATTATTATCTTAAATTATAATTAAATATTGAAATTTACATTTATAAATTAGATAGAAGATAAAGTAAGTAAGTAGTCTAATATATCAACAAGTATAAAAAAACAACTTTCAGAAATTAACATTATTAAACTTCTAATCCATTACGTAATTATGATTACTTCTTAATATTGAGGGAGTTATTTAGTCTGTTCTATTTAAGAAGAACTCATTTAATAATATATTTTAATTAATATTTTCTCAGATGAATTTATTAGTTCCGTTTCGTCTTAATTATTAAAGTTAATTCATAACCAATACTAAATTATTATTAGATGAGATTTAGAATTCAATTGATGCCTAAAATTAAAAGTTAGAATTTAATTAATAAATAGTTTGATTTAATAATCCTCTTTGTGTACTTCATCAATACTAAAATCAAATAGAGATTCCAAAACATAAATATACCTAGATAAGATTGCTTAAGAGAATGAAATTTCAAAATAATATTTATTATAAGTTTGATTTAAGAATTTGACTATTATTAAAGAAGATTCAGAATATTGTCATTCAAAGTAACTTTAATTTTTCTTAACACTTATAATCAACCTCAATCTTACAATTAGAGAAGCAGCCATCATCATCTATTAGATTGTAATATACAAATTATTCATAGTAAAATTTTATTTCTGTACCACAGCCATTATAAAATGCACTATTAATCATTTATAGTATTGCTAGCATTCATAAAAAATTCCCTCAAAAAAAAATAACACAATGCTGATGAAATTTACAATTAAAGCATCCATCAAACTATATTTTATTCTCATCACTACGAATTGAATAGCAAATACCATCAATATTCATTTCTCCATTTGGATAGTCATCATAATAAATACCATAAGTACATTTCTTACATCCTTATATACATTTTAATTAAAATTGATGATTTCTCTCAATAAAGACTTGAAAAATGATTGCCATTAAATCCACATGATACAATCAACTGTTGAATCTAAATAAAATTGACATAATTAGTAAAATTCATTTAATGCTATCTAAAAATTAGTTAGACCCCAAAATTTCTTAAGATATTAAAAATATATAAACTAAATTTGGATTAAAATCTGAGTATAATTCAAAAATTATTGTATGTAAAGCAAAATCATTATAATATGGAGTATCATAGTCTGTACCAGAACTACCACATTAATTTGATCCTTTATTAAATGGAAAATACCAAGATTGATTCCATTAATCTAAAATTATGTAAAAATATTGTCTGGCCAATCATCAATTCTTAAGATATATTAATATTAAACCTCTCATATTCTCCAAAAAAAACTATGTTTACTCCAAAAATATATGTATGAGAATTTCATTGATGGAATAGAACCAAACAGTAGTTATCCTTTAATATAATTAATAACCTTAAGTTTTTACATTTATTATGCTAATTTAATATAAAGATTTGGTTTTGGATATGTTGTAGCAGAATTCTTAGTTTAAAATTTGTTAATGTGATGAAAAATCAAAAAATGTTTTGTATATAATTTATATTCATATTAAATTAATTTATTATAAGAGTAGCTATTCTATAAGAAAAAAAGAACTACTTATAAAGTAATTCATAAGTAATTATGAAGAATTTTGTTTTAATTTAAATTGAAACCAACAATATTGGTTCTAAATTAAAATTACATCATTATATATAATTTAATTTCAATCAAATTTATATGTACTCTTTACTTAATTGGATATCAGAATGAATGTATTAATGACAATTAATCATATATCATAATTTTATTTTATTCATTCATTTTCAACATAGAACATATTTAATTGTTATTAATTTAAGACATTTTTCTTTAATTCTTAAATAAAAAAAAAATAGGTTTAT